ATCTGCAATAGACTTGAAGACCACAGCCAGAGGAAGTATGCTTTCGAATACCAGTTGCTGGGAACCCCAAGTGAAGAGAGAAAATTGTTGCACTCAAGTCCTCCTCGCAGGGTTCTCAAAAGCATCTGGTTGGCCACTGTGAAAACGGGGCTGGGCTAGATGGGCCATTGCCTGATGCAGCAGAGCAGACAGTACTGAGCTAGCCAATGATGTAAGAGGCCTTTGTGCTCAAGGACTTTGTTCAGTCTGCATCTTTAAGTTAGTTTCCTTGAAGAGTAATGTGGAACCTCCAGCTTGTGCAAGTCTGTGCAAGTGCTGAAGATCAGTTGTTTGCAAAATCAAGGTGCCTGACATCATTGTGATATCAGGTGACTGACAAGTGGCCAACCCCACCAACCTGTCAAACTTGGCCCATGGTGGGAGAGATCAATGATCCAGCTCAACTATGCTGGGTAACACATGGATTGGGACACATGCATTTGGGTATAAAATGCATACAAACATGTATTTGGCAAAACAAAATAATTGCAAAAAGTATTATTTATTATTATTTTATTTAAAAAGAATATTGATGTGGACATAGAATTATGAATCAACAGTTGGAAAACTGACAAACTGTTTTTTAGAGTGATCTGCAAGTCTCAACAATAAACCCACACGTGCCAACAAAGAGGGAGATGAGCTTCATTGGTTTGCTTCAGAGCTCATTGCTGCATCTAGTTTTAGAAATTAGCAGAGCTGCCACACTGGAGAGGGTTTGGATGAGACCAAGGCATCCCTATACCCAACTGTGCATGGTTACACTGGGATCTGCCAGTGTGGTGGTGAAGCTTTCTACCAATATGGAGATCCCAGTTGTCCTGACCTAAATTATGGGTGGGTGGTAGCCAGTTTATACCACTGAAATGGGGAGTTTAAGGGGCTGGGGAAGAATCTGGGTCAGCCAAGGATCAGATGAATGATAAACCATCCAGGTATTCAACTGAAGCCCTTCTGCCATGCCAGCTTGGAGCTAGGACAGCAAAAATACTGTTCTGGTATCTTCCACCCTGGTAGGCATGAGCAATGGGGCTCTGTTTGTGACAGTGGGTTTGGATTGCTCTTAAGCACCATTAAAAAAATTCAAGACATGAAACATTAGAAGTTAACCAAGGGTTCAATTTGAAGTTTTGTGGAAGTCAATAGAAATGACTCTGTAAAGGTATGGTTTGGGGCAGGTTTGGAGTATTTTTATATCTGTTCGTTTCCATGCCCCTTGAAGGCGTTCGGGGTCAGTGGATGTTCACCAGCAGCCTGACTAAACGAAAGAATCAACTGTTTGGAAGTTGTTTTACTTCCAGTTTGTATTCAGGTCAAACAAAAATCTTGAGAGCAGATAAATCCATAATTTCATCCTGCATTTCACCTCAGATGACTTTGTGATAGCATATCGAGTCAGCAGTAGCCAGAATGGTTTGTGTCTCTTCTGAGCACAGTGGGAACCTTTTGAAAAAAAGAAAAACAAGAGCCTAACCTCTCTCTCCCCTGAAAGACGAGAAAAAAATTAAGCAATGAGGAGGGGGGCACCTCAAAGGAATAAAACTAGATTTTATGCAACATCAAGTGTGCAAAGCTCTCATGAAGCTATACACTTTGCAAAACTGAGTAGTGTAGCATTTATATCGCACTTCAGTGTTCAAACTACTTCACAAACATTATCTCAGTGATCCTTTCAACTGTACTGTAATATGGGCCAGTAGAATATCTATAGAGCAGATAGGGTAATGAACCAAGAACATAGGCGGCTAACCTGTGGCCCTCTAGACATGGCTGCACTCCAACTCCCACCAGCCCCAGCCAACATTGCCCATCGACAGGGTGATGTGAAGTGCAGTTCAACAACATCTGGAAAGCTAGATGTTCCTCACCACTGGTCTAGAATCACCAAGTGAGTATGTGACTGAGATGAGAACTGATATGGAATGCTCTCCCCAGGGAGACACACCTGACACCATCCTTGTCAGTCTTTTGTATAGCCAGGTCTTTGGTTAATTAAACTTGTCTCCTGTGAGGTGTTCATCTTTTAGTGGGTTGGGGTAGGACTTATCCTTATTAAGAAATCGCTGAACGAATATTTGGTGTACTTTGTATCATTCATTTCTTTACAATGTCCTTCAATTGCTTTAATGTGTTTTATTTTATCTTGTCAGACCACTTTGAGAATTTTTGTTGTATAAAGTGATGAATAAATTCAATAAATAACAGCTTTCTGGATGGTGACTTATGCTTTTAGACACTATGCTACACCACCACTCTAAGATACATTTTCTAACTATATATACATCAAACTTAAAGGCTCTGCAATTTTTACATCATCTAGCTTCCCAACAACTCTCTAAGACTTCCTGAAGACTATAGTCAGAAGGGGCTTGTACTGTGGTGTCCCACAGCCAAACGTTCAGAAGAACGTAAGAAGAGCATTTCTACACCAGACCAATAGCCTGTCTAGTCCAGCATCGTATTTCCTACAATGGCAGACTCCCCCCCCCAAAAAAAAGCCCACAAGCAGGGCACAAAGACATTCACCCTCTTCTCCTGCAACTAGGAATGTAAAAACACAAGGAAAGCACTGCTAAATTGGAACAAAGGCCGTTTAGTCCAGCATCCTGTTATAACAGTGGGTAACCAGTTACCTATGGGAAGCAGGACCTGAGTGCAAAGAAGCACTCTCACCATTTGTGATTCCCAGCAACTGGCATTCAGGAACATGCTGTCTCCTTCAGTGGATATGGTTAGTAACCATCAATAGCCTTATCCTCCATGGATTTGTCCAATTCTCTTTTATGGTCATCAAAGTTGGTGGCCATCTCATTGTTTAACCATGCACTATATGCAGAATCACTTGTCTGTCCTGAAACTGGTATGCAGAAACATGCTGATTCTGATCCTGGAGGGAGCATATAGTCATCTTGATCATTAGCGATTGGCAGTCTTGAATGTGGGCACATGAGAGGACTCTACAAATAGCAATTGCTATGTTCCTAATAGAAGTAAATGGCAAAAGATGTTGTGTGAATAATGTGTGTTTCCTCCTTCAGTGCTCTTAAGTATCATGCAAAGTGGTCACTCACCGATCTGCCCCATGGGAAGGTGGATGTGTTCTCAATGCATGCAGTTCACTGGTGTGGACATCCATTTAAAGCAAACCAACTTAAGTCACCAGTTCCAGACTTAGCACAATGGAGATATCAAGCCCATTATACACGTCTCTGAATTTTGTGATGTTGCTCTGGTTAAGAAAAATGCTCACAAAATGTGTATTTTATGGAAAAATAAATAGAAAAATGCATGTGTTGGAGAAGGAATGTGTGCAAAATGCATACAAAATACCTACTTTAGGGGAAAGCATGTAGAATTTAAATGCAAATGTTTAGTAGTTTGCTTTTTGGTGGGGAAAAAATACGATGAGACATACCCATGATTGAACACATGTGCAACCAGCAAGCTGCTATATCCATCCTCCTAAGTGAATCCACAACTCACTTATGGGTCCCATACTGCTGCTGCTTTAAAATGAATGAGGTGGCAATCAGAAGAGCATTTTTCAGAATTGTTGGTGTTTTCATCTAATAATGATTTGTCCTAAGCTATTGACTTGAACAACACAGAAGTTTAATGAGATTCCTTCAGAACTCCATGTCTATGCAGTTTTGTAGAGCTGACTTGGTGAGTCACTTTATCCTTGTTTAGGTGGTCTGAGACTCTTCATATCATAAGGTGAACCAATATGCGAGGCACCATCCAGGATGTTGGCTCATCCTTGGATGCCTTCCCTATAAAGAGTGGTATGAAACAGGGTTGGAGCTGTGTTCTTGCTTCAACACTCTTTGACATATTCTTTGTTGCCCTCCTATGTGTTGAGCTTGACTGAAGACATTGTGTGCATCCATTCAAGGAGTGACAGGGATCTGTTCAACCTGGAACATCTCCATGCCAAGCCAAAAGTATGTTGGGTCCTTATCCAAGAGATGTTGTTTGCAGATGACCCAGCCTTCACAGCACACTCCAAGGAAGCTCTACAGAGACTCATCAGCCATTTTGCCCAAGGCTACATGGAGTTCGGCCTTAACACCAGCCTGAAGAAGACCAACATCCTGGGTCAGAATGCTGTCAGCGCACCACACATCAGCATGCGTGACCACATGCTTGAGGTGGTAGATGATTTCGTCCACCTGAGTTCCACCATAACCAGCAACATTTCCATTGATACTGAGCTGGACAAGTGTATTGGCAAGGCAGCTATGGCAATGGCTTGCCTCTTTAAAAGGGTATGGGAGAATGTGATGCTAACAGCCAATACCAAGATGAAGATCTACTAGGCTTGTGCGTTGAGCGTGGTGCTTTATGGTAGTGAGTGGTGGACAACTTACACCCGCCTTTCGCATGTGCTGTGTCAGGAAGATTTTGGGTATCACATGACGGACAAAGACTCAAACAAAGATGTGTTCTCCCAAGCTCCTATTCCCAGCGTGTTTACATTCCTGTCTCAGCAATGTCTACACTGGTTTGGTGTACAGGGAGCTGGCTTCATGCAACAGATGTCATGGACTGGATAGATGCAGAGGAGTAGTGGGATGCACCAGCCAAAGTGCAACCTATTTACAATTCTGGAAGGCACTTAGGCGATCGTAAAAGAGTTGCACCAAAGTGCCTCTGGGAGGGCGTGCCTGCTATCGTAGGAAGCAGTGGCAGTGGCGGAGGACAAAGCAGGAGGCAAAAAGGTGTGAGCAGGTGGGTGGGCAAATGGTGGCAGTGGCAGGATGATTGTGGGGGGGGAGGAGATGTGGAGGTACACCTGCTAATTAATAAGTATTACATTTATAATATACTTTGGACACATATGAAAAAGGTTATCACACATAGAAAACTCACAAGTTCAGTATTCTTGTTGAATTCATTATTCAGATATGTGAAGATAAACACAGAGAGAGCAAGGGAGAGAGCATGAGAGAGAGAGAGAGAGAGAGAGAGAGAGAGAGAGAGAGAGAGAGAGACCACTAGGTTAAAGTATATTTTATAAGGGAAGTGTAATTTCCTAGGAGAACTAACTGGTTTTGTGCTTGATACAGATAACATTTATTTGATGGGAAATACATATATGGTAGATTCAGATAATGGTTTTATCGTCATCGTGATCATTTATTGCCTGATAGCCTAGTCATCTCAGCATGAGATAATGGTTTGATCTCCTAAGAGCAACATATTTTAATGGGGTTATCACTGCGTGAACAGATACCTAACAGGAATATTAGAATTTGGCGGCAGCGGCGGGTGTGTGTGTGTCCTGATTCCACAACCATTGTTGTGTGGTTTAGATGTTCTATCTAATATATGAGAATTTTGGTGGGAGTGGGGGAGATGGCTGTCCTCATCCCTCACTATGGGTTGTGTTTCCCCAGTGTTAGGAACTCATATCTACGCCCTGCCATTGAAGAAAAAGATGTGTTCTGTAGTAGACAGTTGCATGTTTGGGGGAGAGTGGGGGGAGGAAGTGTTCAAGGATGACAGACAATTCTGTTAAAAATGGAAATGGGAGCAGAAATTGCTGGTGTTCCTTTATTTGTCCTTTATCCCTTTGTCCAAATAATGCAATCAGTATTCCCCATTGTTTTATACAGTCCAAGAACAATACATAATTGATTACGTCTCCCTGCCCCCAAACACACATGTGTGTTGTGTTTCCTTTGCATTGAAATGAATAGGGTGGAATGATGTAATGACATAATTTACATAATTACTTATGGAAATTACGTAAATTATTCAAGACAAACAATGTAGCTTTTTTTTTTTTTTTTGCAGAAGATGGAACAGAGTGGAACAGAAACAGTGTTGCTTGTGACAAATACAGGGAGGGATGAAAAATGATGCCTTCTTTCACCCCTAGCAGAGCACATACTTTGCATTCAAAAGGTCCTAGGTTCAATCTCTGGCATTACAAGGCAGGGCTAGGAGAGACTCCTTCCCTAAACCCCAGAGAGCTGCTGCCAGTCAATATTGACAACACTGGGCTAGGCTCAGTATAAGCTCTCCTACTGTTGAGTGCGGATTAAGAAGAAAGGTGAGACACAAGATTTAGCCCTACTGTTTACAAGAAAAAAAATCAGTTCCTGGAGGAAATCACAGTACAATTACACCTTTCACTTTCCTGGAAAGAAACAACATGTGGGTGGGTGTCATGAAACTGCTCTGTTAGCCAAGTTAACAATTCTTTATTCTTTGAGGACTTGTATATATTGCACCGTCTGAAAAAAGAGGCATTGCTGCGGCAGAAAGGGGTGGAGAAAGAAACACAGAAAGTTCCACAAGTCGGTTCCTTGAACAATTAAGCTGCAATGACTATGATCTTACTCCACTGTCAAAGGCAGAATATCAATTTCTGGGAACAACAGTAATGGAGAGTGCAAGTCTGAACTTCAGTGTCTAAAATCCCTGGGAGAGGACAAGGATCCTGAGATCACGTTAAGGGTAGCCAAATTCTGTGTGATTGCCATAAAACTTAGGGAACAAATCTGTGCTATCATAATGATTAAGGCCTTAAATGATAATTTTAGGTTGAATTTTAGTGACTAAGTTTTAATTTATATTTTTTTAACTGTGTGTTATATCTGTATTGTCCCTGTTATACCTAATTGCAAATTCAAATGTATCCCTATCATGTTTTATGACTTCCTTGATAATGTATGTGAGCTGGAACTGGTCTGTGACCAAAATAATAAATTCAATTCAATTCAACAGAGAGTGACGTGGTGATCCAGTTCTGCCAGTTTCCCACAAGCATGCGGTTGGCCATTGTGAGAACATGATGCTGGACTAGATGGGCTGTTGGCCTGATCTAGCAGACTCATATTTGTATGATGTTAAGGCACAGAACAGACCCCTTTGTAGAGCCTTCAGTTTTTTTATTCTTTCCTGTGGTATTAAATGCACATGAACAGCCTTCCTCATTTTTGGTATAGAACCTCCCATTTCTGTTAATCTGGATTTACCTAGGTTCCATCTACAGATGCAACAGAACGTGATAGTAAAGTCCTGAAATGGTAGAACGGATTGTGCCATGTCAAACTGTCACCCTTTGAAAATTACACTTCTCCAAATTTTGCAATCCAGCCACATAAAGCTTACAAAAATAGTTACGTAAGGATAAAGCATGCATGTCTTAGTGAAAGCAACTAACAAAAATATATTACATTAGTAAAAGCTGCATATAAAAATGTGAATATTAGACAAAATTGCATACAAAAATAGGTATATTTGGAGAAGGTCTCACTCAAATGCTGGGGAATTTTCATGAGGGCTTCTACAAATAAATCTCAAACTGAGTTGAAAATTTCAAGAACGGAACTTTAGACTGGAAAAATGAGAAACAGTGAGAAACCAAAATTCACAGATTTGGCAATGCCTAGTCAAGTGTGTCAGTGTGGTGCAGTGGTTAGAGTGTTGGACTTGGACCCAGACGTCCCAGGTTCAAATCCCCATTCAGCCATGAAGCTCACTGAGTGACCTTGGGCCAGTTACTGTCCCTCAGCCTAGCCTTCACTGTGTACAAATAAGATAAGTTCTAGTTAAAACACAGATTTAACAAAATTATCCTCCATCCCTAGGAGGAGACCTGTGGAAAAAGGTTGATATCAATCCCAGAGAAATTATGCTTGGGCTCTGACAGGGATACAAGCAAGAGACAAACAGTGAAGTCATCTGCCATTCAAAGTGTGAATAAACCCTACATGCTGGCCTGTTCTACAAGATGCTTTATTCCACATCCAAAAGCATGGGGTGTCCTTGAGATTTAACACTCATTTATGATGCTCCTGATGTGTTATATTGTTCATCTATCAAAGATTGTAATGGAAAAGAAAATGCACTCGTTATTAATGTCAGTCTTCTTTAAAAAAAAATACAATCTGACTATTAAACTACCTGTTGAAGTATGTGAAAGTGAAAAGGGAATGATAATAACATAATGAAAGGTTTGGAAGAGTTTTGCCAGCTAATATTTATGTAAATTAGGAGTGTTGGCATGAAGATACTTGCAAAGGGATTTTGTTTTGTTTCTGTGTCCCATACTGGATTATGTAGAGATTTTCTGAAGCTCTTACTTCTAGATTTGGGAATACTGTACAAACTTGGGGGTCTTGTAATGCCTGCCTTAATCCCAAAGTGAGTATTACAACCTCCCAATTATTATCCAGCTCTTGCATATTAATCTGAACTGGAGAGGAATTCCTTCTGCTCTCCTATCTAGTCAGCCCCTTCCTTCCCTCCTTTCTTCCTTCCTTCCTTCCCTCCTTCCTTCCTTCCCCGTTTCAATGGTACACAACTGCCACCACCAATAAAAGGCATAGCAGACTAAATGTCTTTAGGCTTTGAGCTACCATCAAGCTGAAAAACTGGGGTTTCCAATCCCTTTTTATAGATCCTGGCCTATGATCATGTTCACATGGCACACTGACTAAGCTTAGCACAAATGCGTGAAAATTCTGGTTCCTGAGGAGGAGAACATAGTTATTTTGTTCCTCCCTAGACTTTTTAGGTCAGCACGGAGCAGAAACTAAACCAATATTTGGTTTAGCTTGTCGTACAAACCCAACATAGTACTTAAGCTCTCTCCTTCTTAACCATAATGGGTAGCAAATGTTTGTCCTACATATCTGTGCACACACACCTCTATCCTCCAGCCACTCAGGGAAGAGGGATTTATCAGAGTTCTAGAACACATGTTGTCAAGGCAAGAACACTAAAGGGTGTGTGAAGCAAGACCGGTGAGGAGGTGAAAGAAAAGTGTAGTTGGGGAAAGAAGGTGATGTAATGGGTGGCCTAGGGTAAGTCGGTGTGGCCCAGGGGGAGAAGGTGAGGTATGTGGAGATGTGTGACCTTGAGAAAGTCTTGAAAGCATTTAGTCCCTGGGTTTCAACTCCCACTCTTGAACTGTGCCAGATGCAAAGTTCAGAGCTAGTGATGGTTCACTCAGTTTGTTTGTGCCACATCCCATCTCTCTCTCTGTATGCATTTATCTTCATTTCTTTCTGCCCTCCTTTCTCCTCCTTTCTCTTTTTCTCTCCTCTCCTCCCTGCTGCCCCTTACACAGCAAACGGACTTGGAATAATAATTTTTTAAAAAATCATGCAAACTGGAGATTTTTCCTAAGCAGCACGAGGGGAAAGGGGTTAAGGAGGGGATGCCACAGGTCAGATCCTAAGGCACTTCTAAGCCAAACCACAGTTTAGTGCAGAGGTAGTCCATATGGTGCTCTCTGGATGATGTGGGGACTTAAAATCCAATTTCTCCTAACCATTGGCAATGTTGGCTGGGGAGCTGGAGTCCAAACAGCATACAGCATACTCTGCTGGCTATCCCTGGTTTAATAGGATGAAAACAAGACCCCAGTGAACCTCAGACGTGCACATTCCCTCTATCCTTTATCCAAAGGAAGAGTTCAGATGTTGTCACTTCCATTTCCCACAATGTGGCTTCTCATTTATACCAAACCCTAAACTGTGGTTAATATTAACAGTGGCTTGCTTAAGCATAGCAGCTCCATAAACTTTGGTGGGAAGCCATTTTGACTCATGCAAACCATAGCTAATGCTAACCACAGTTGCTGGTGATTAAACAAAAATGGAAGAGGATGCTTCTGAATTCTTCAAGGCTGTGCCAGAGGAGGAGAAGGGATGGCCGTGAGGAAAGCTCATAAGCCTAAGGTTCACTAGATCTTATATTCATCATGCTAAACCATGGTTTAGAATGACATCCAAACTCTCCTGCTACATGCAACCATATTCAAAGAGAGGACAAAATTATTTTTTGCCTAAGGCAATGAATTAGTCTGAGCCAGCCCTGTTCCTTTCTTCTAACAAATTAATACCAACAGACAGCCTTGAAGTGAAAGTGTATTTTATTTCCTCTACTTTATTTGGAAGGAACTATTTCCTCCCGTGAAGGAAGGATTGTGAAGCATGTAACTTGCCTTTCCCCCGAGATTACACCCTTTATGTTTTAGCATCTGAAAGACAAAGCAGATAGCTTCTAAACAGCAGCCCTAAACAGGGTTAGTGTTCTAATTTACAGAGGACAAAACTTTAAGAGAGAAAAGAGTTTGTTGGTAAAAGCAAATGTAAACACAGGTACCTGGGAAGGTAATGCAGAGATCACACCAAAATGCATTCGCTCAAAAGATTAATATCTTTTCATTAAAAAGAGAAGAGAGCAACGGTGGGCTCAAAATTTGCATTTAGATCGAGTAGGTGGCAAGTGTATTGACTGCTTACAAATTCATGTTACCAAAAACAGGGAAAGGAAGGATGCAGAAAAAGATGTCCCTGTCCTCTCACAGATGTAGTGATAGTATGCTGAGGAATTTGTGTGAATTTTATGATGTTCAGTGTCGTTGCCACTTACAGCGCTGGTGTACAACTTCTGCAGGTAATTTGATGTGCTGTCAAATTCAGAGCTAGAAAATAGTCACCAGAAAGGGGTACCTACTTTCTGAATCATGCAGATTTTCCACTGAGGAAAATCTGGAGGGTTCACACAGTGATCCCACCAGCACTGTGACGGGCACTTCAAGGCTATTGCTAATCTTGGCTGTAAGTACAATCACAGACTGGCAAATTCAGGTTACACAATTATAGTTGATTGGGAGGTCTTCAACAACAAGCCTACTTCCTCAAAAGACTGGACTTCTTGTAATCAGGAAAGTGATGGATAAATGCCCTGCAAAGTGTGGGGTGACACTGCAGGCACCACGAAGGTCAAAGTGGCTGATGGCAACACCCTTAACCTGGATACCCACTATGTATTTGCATTTTGCTGAAGTAGCTTCCCCCATGCTCCCACTTCACAACACCATCTGGTCAGGGTGCCTGGCAGTGGTCCTCAAAAGCAGATGCTGGAGAGCCCTCCAGCAAACAACTAGAAGAGATATCATTGACATAAAAATCTGTTCTCCCAGTTAGTGCTCGTCTAGAGGGGCAGGTAAGATAATGGAATATCTGAGCTCGAGGGTATTTTGCATCCACTTGAATGCCAGTCTTCCCAAACCTGGTGCCCTTCAGATCTTGCTGGGCTCCGATTCCCATCATCCCCTGGCAGCATGGCCAATGGTGAAGTAGTCCAACAAACATCTTGAATGTTAGGGAAAGCCATTCTAAATGCAAGACTTGCATAATTTCCTATTTACTTCAATTGACCACTTAGAGATCTTCAAAATATTAATTGGTTTATAAATGCTTTTAACCAAATGTCATTTTTATCTTAGCAAATGAAACAAAGCAAACCCACTCACCCACCCAGGGTGGCGGGGACATTTCAACCTTTCACTGTGGATTTACTATTTCTAACCTGCAGGCCTATACATCACATACTTTTGCAAGAAATGCCTTTGTGCTTAAAATTAGTGAATCACAAAAAGAGGGGGGAGTTTTGCCAATGGAAGTTTGCAGGTATGATTTGCCCCCATCTCTCCTCAATCTTTATTTCTGACACTTTCAAAGATGTTGAGATTTCCCAAGGCATAGGAGAAATGCACATAAAGCTTCACAAAATATATCCTTATGTGCCTTGTTAAAATGAAAATGGATGTTGTTCTGCAATTACTGGAGTGTGCCACAAACTCTGAAGAGCGTGCACTTTTCAAAATAATATTCCAGCAGAAAATCCATAAATAAAACAGAACTTTGATAGGCTGGAGAGAACGCAATGCAGGTCAGGAGCAAACACCTGCAACGAGGTGTGAATTGCAGAAGCAGTAAAAACCACCAACTGCAGAAATCCTACAGTGAAGAACTGGTCTTCCGAAAGTAGTATAGAGTCCAGCAGCGGCAACACTGCTCCCACCCTCAAGCAGGGAATGAATTTGCCACACCCTCCCTCTCATTGGAAAGAAAACTTTCAAAGTCTTTCCTGTTGGAGAAGCTGGGGGAGGCATGAGGAGGTTGAATGGCCAATCAGGAAGTGGTGGGCAGTCAGGCTTTATAAGCCTGCTCCACCCCAAACTCAACTCTTCATCACTGGAGTACCCCACATCCTGCCCTCCCTCCCTTTGAAGTGTGGGCTTCACTTCACCTGTTGTGGGGCTGAATAGGACTTTTGGGGGGAGCATGGCTGACTGACCGAACCCAAAGGGTGCTCATCAATGGTTCCTCTTCATCCTGGAGAAGAGTGACTAGTGGGGTGCCACAGGGTTCTGTCTTGGGCCCGGTCTTATTCAACATCTTTATCAACGACTATGATGATGGACTCAAGGGCATCCTGATCAAATCTGCAGATGACACCAAACTGGGAGGGGTGGCTAACACCCCAGAGGACAGGATCACACTTCAAAATGACCTTGACAGATTAGAGAACTGGGCCAAAACAAACAAGATGAATTTTAACAGGGAGAAATGTAAAGTCTTGCACTTGGGCAAAAAAATGAGAGGCACAAATACAAGATGGGGGACACCTGGCTTGAGAGCAGTACATGTGAAAAGGATCTAGGAGTCTTGGTTGACCACAAACTTGACATGAGCCAACAGTGTGACGCAGCAGCTAAAAAGCCAATGCAATTCTGGGCTGCATCAATAGGAGTATAGCATCTAGATCAAGGGAAGTAATAGTGCCACTGTATTCTGCTCTGGTCAGACCTCACCTGGAGTACTGTGTCCAGTTCTGGGCACCACAGTTCAAGAAGGACACTGACAAACTGGAACGTGTCCAGAGGAGGGCAACCAAAATGGTCAAAGGCCTGGAAACGATGCCTTATGAGGAACGGCTAAGGGAGCTGGGCATGTTTAGCCTGGAGAAGAGGAGGTTAAGGGGTGATATGATAGCCATGTTCAAATATATAAAAGGATGTCACATAGAGGAGGGAGAAAGGTTGTTTTCTGCTGCTCCAGAGAAGCGGACATGGAGCAATGGATCCAAACTACAAGAAAGAAGATTCCACCTAAACATTAGGAAGAACTTCCTGACAGTAAGAGCTGTTCGACAGTGGAATTTGCTGCCAAGGAGTGTGGTGGAGTCTCCTTCTTTGGAGGTCTTTAAGCAGAGGCTTGACAACCATATGTCAGGAGTGCTCTGATGGTGTTTCCTGCTTGGCAGGGGGTTGGACTCGATGGCCCTTGTGGTCTCTTCCAACTCTATGATTCTATGATTCTATGATTTGATTGGCCTGAATCCCAGGGACAGTGGGACCACAGTTGGAAGGAAAAAGAGTAAGCAGAGTTCAGAGGCTCCACAGCATGTTCTGGCTGCCCCTCATGTGACACCCCCCCCCCACTGCCTCTTGTCACACTGTAGTTTCCAGTGTGATCTGTTGATGGCTTGACAAACAGCATAGCAATGTGTAAGTGTGCATATCTATACAGATACAGATATAGATTTATAGAATTGTAGAGTTGGAAGGGGTCCTGAGGATCACCTAGTTGAACCCCCTGCAATGCAGGAATATGCAGCTGCCCCATACGGGGATCAAACTGGCCACCTTGAGCATTATCAGCACCATGCTCTAGTCAACTGAGCTATCCAGGCTGATATAGATATAGATACAGTGGTACCTCAGATTACATACGCTTCAGGTTACAGACTCCGCTAACTCAGAAGTAGTACCTCGGGTTAAGAACTTTGATTCAGGATGAGCACAGAAATCGTGCTCCAGCGGCGTGGCAGCAGCAGGTGGCCCCATTAGCTAAAGTGGTGCTTCAGGTTAAGAACAGTTTCAGGTTAAGAACAGACCTCCGGAACGAATTAAGTACTTAACCTGAGGTACCACTGTATACAGTATGTATACAATGTTTCACAAAAATGCAGCAACTATGGTGACTTTGTTCCAGGAAAGACCCTTGGTGCACACAATACTCTTTAGTTTTCAACACCTGGAGAGTTTGAATGAGTTAAATAATAAAACTTCATTTTGTTTCCTTCTTGTTTTCAGGGTGGGGGGGAGGGGAGAAATAATTCAAATAGCAGCCCATCCAAAAGGCCATCTTCTATCTGTTTGTCTACCCATTTTAAAACATTTATGTTCATCACACACACACACACACACACACACAGAGAGAGAGAGAGAGAGAGAGAGAGAGAGAGAGAGAGAGAGAGAGAGACTTAAACTGTATGTGAAACACTGTTATACTTTAAGGGTTTTTGTTTGTTTTTTTGTTAAGGGGTGGAGTTTCCTTCTCCCTCTTTTGTGTCTTCCTGGCTATTTTAAAACTATCACACACACAGAGAGAGATTTAACACAATTTAAATACTGCAATATCAAGGTGGTGTACAACAAAAAGTGCAAAACAATAATTAAAAGAACTGGCCAGTCAGAAAAGCTTCAATCAGCTGCATAGGCATGTTGGCATTCAAATATGACTTGCTGAAAAAAGCTTGATAGAAGGTGCTTCTCAAATTGCTGCTGAGAAATAAATCTCAGTGCTGTCTTACAAGAGCTCCTCTTAATAAGTGGAAAACTACTTCTTCTTCTTTTAATAGTAACTTGGTTACAGCTTGTTCAAAACGGAAATCAAAAAGCCCCAGATACGATGCAATCTCCATTTCAATATTCTACCTCCAGCACTTATCTCCAGGTTCCTGTTCTGTACAACATGCAAACATGAAAGAACTTGAACTATATTTATATATATATAAAGTAGAATTTTGCATCCTTGACAATTTGGCTTAAATTAAGTGGAACACTACCCGTAAGCATCTTCATCTAAGCAATGGCCAAAAATTAATAAAAAGAACATGAAAACATGAATAGCTTTGATCACTGAATGAATGCAGTTACTTTAAAAACTGTTTATAGCTGTGCTTATGCTTGGAGAATAAGAGCACTTGCACTCCCTCAGTTTACACTATTTTTTATCTTTCAGCTCAGCCAGTTTCTTTGATGGAAGCCACAAATAAGAATAATAAAAGCACCACACTTGAGCCATCACAACCACAGATAAAAATCACTAAGGTAAGTTTCATCAGGTTTGGCTTGTATTATAGTGGCTCTGGCATTTATGCTTGATGCAATAATTAACAAATAAATAAATCAGCACACAAATCTCTCTATTTGGAATGGGAAGTGACATAGGTCTAAAATCAAAGCCCAAATACCTATTGCCCAGTGCATGACAACTGGGCAAATTAATTTAAAGAAGAGGTGGGGAACGTCTGGCCTTTGGGCCTAATCTGGCCCACTAGACCTCCACATTTGGCCCGTGAGGTCATTTAGGCCAGGCCACACACAGTTGACACCAGAAGATGGAAGACAGTAACCCCACCAGCCTGGGGACCTGGATCCCAGGGACAGGGGACCCATGGTGGGCAGGTAGATGAGTGAGAAGAGCTCAGGGACAGCAGTTCTCAGTGCCATCTGTTGGCAGCCAGGCAAACTACAGCATGACAATTTGTGTGTGTGTGTGTGTGTGTGTGTGTGTGTGTGTGTGTGTGTGTGTTACAAACATGCAACAAGTACACTGACTTCATTCCAGGAAACATATCTTGGGTGCACATAGCACCCTTGAGTCTCCACACCGTGCACCCCCCCGAAAGGATTGGAATGAGCTTAATAAAAACCTTCCTTTTCTTTCCTTCTTTTTTTGGGGTGCGGGGTGGGGTGGTACAGTGGTACCTCGGGTTACATACGCTTCAGGTTACATACACTTCAGGTTACAGACTCCGCTAACCTAGAAATAGTGCTTCAGGTTAAGAACTTTGCTTCAGGATGAGAACAAAAATTGTGCTCCCGCGGCGCGGCAGCAGCAGGAGGCCCCATTAGCTAAAGTTCAGGTTAAGAACAGTTTCAAGTTAAGAACGGACCTCCGGAATGAATTAAGTACTTAACCCGAGGTACCACTGTAATTCAAAACAGCAACAGCCCATCCAAAAAGACACGTTTTATCTAACTATTTGTCTACTCATGTTAAAACTCTTAAGATAAACACACAGTATGTGAAACAGTGTATGTGATACTTTAAGGGTGTTGTTGTCGTTGTTGTTATTAGGGGGTTTCTCTCTCCCCCCATTGTTTTCCTAGCTATTTCAAAACTATTTACCTACCTACCCACCTACCTACCTATCTATCTATCTGAAGTAGTCCTACTGAGTTAAAAGGAGCTGCTTCTCAGGGAAGAGGAATTGTAGCCCAAGTTACGAGCAAGATATTTTATGTCCTCAAAGAAGTGAGTTAATAATTAACAAACAAATTAATATCACATGCATTATCAGTCTTTGTCTAAATTTTAATTCCCTTCTGGAAAAATTGACTGAATCCCACATTCTCCCCACATAGCTTCTATGCTTCTGAATATTTCACATATTGAATCCCAGTTTCTAAGCTGGATCATGTCAATTTCTAAATTTATTTTGTTTTTTGCTCCATAACTTTAAGTAGTATCTCGATTAGAAGTTTATGATAGGTAACAACCTCACCTCCCAATCATTCTGTATTTCTTATTTTCTTTAAGATATTATTTTTATTATTTATGTGTTTGTTTGTTTATTTTTACCCACCCTTCACCCTAAGTTCACGCTGATAAAGAAATGGGGGGGGGGGGGGCTATGAGCTATTAAAAGGAAATCACAAGTGGCTCAGTTCTTTCACTGCCACAGTCTCTCCAGTAGTAATACCCGTTCAGTCTTCAAGACATTCTTTCTATGTAAATATAGCATCATTATTTCATGTATCACTAGTGATCTTTACAACACAGCTGAGAAGCTAGTATTGTTCATTCCCTTCTACTGATTTTTCAGTTTTCAAAAAATTGGTTTTATCCTAAGATTGTTTATATTTTAGGGAGGGGGAGAATGTCCAACCTGACTTGAAAAATCATAGACAGTCTGTCGAATGTGGCAGCCAGTTATTATGACTCTACAAATCTTAAATTTGTATTCAAACTTATACGAAATGAATAACATCAGATACCCGGGGAGGGGGAGTGCGCTGCCAGCTACTTACAATTTTATGTATGTAAGTCATTTTCATAACAGAACATAGTAGTTCCAGCTGAACAGGCATGGCCCCTCTTCTTAAATCCTTTCACAAGTTTTGAGTTATACAGATGCCACCCTTGGAAATCTTCCAAGTCATTTGCCTTGCCCTTATTTTGATGGCACACTACATAGCAAATGAGTCATCACAGTTAGGCTGCAATTCCCTATGCACAGTTACCACCAGGGCTGCATGGAATTGGTTAGCACCATTTTTGATCTGTACATTTGTCAACAAAATACAGATCATGTTGTTTTATTTAGCAGCTCACAAACATGTAATTACTCAAGCATTCACATCGCAGAATTAGTGTCCCTAAACTAAGCTACAAAATGGATCACCGATAAACTGTTTTCAGTCGTGATGTTAGCAGGTTTCGCATTTCCTGGCACAGAGATACAATTCTTGGTGGCTTTAATGTCCCTGAACATTCTTCTACAGGTCAGATTTTAGTCTGAAGGAATTTGCAGGATGGTGGGTGGGCTTTCTCCTGAAATTCAGCAGGGGGGAAGAGAAATGACCCCAATTCCATGTCTGACTGAGGAAGTTTACCCCATCGCAATTCTCAGTGGCAATCCCATAACAAGAGTGAGAGTCAAGATGCTCCAAATTAAACTTGACTTCATTACTAGAGTTTCCAAAACAACAAAGAAATTTTCAACTCTCACCTAATCCTTCCTCAGACCAAGGAGAATTGTGAAACATGACTACCCAGTAAGCCACTGCTTCCTCCTTCTTACCGCAGTATCTTTTCCCTGTCTCACCACCTGTGTCTAGTCCACTGCACCCTTCACCAATTTCTCCTCCTTCCCCCCACTGGCCTCCTTTGGTGTCTTCTTTTTCTCCCTTTCCTTCGGTGGCATCAGTGTCATTGGTGAGGGGAGCAGCAGAGTGGTCATCATCAGCCAGGGGAGGGGGCATCAGTGGCAGAGCTATCACTTTCCACCTTGTCTCAGCATCATACTGGGCCAGCCCTGTTACATACATCACATCTGGGTCCTTTACAATGGCTCAGATTCTCCAAAGGCTGTTCCTTTGTTTTGTTTTTGCACAGAGATCTCAATGCTTAAAAGATTCATGCCCTCCCCTCCCCTTTATGCAAAGGAGGAACCCTCAAAAGAACTGGAGGAATTTACAAAGCTTATCCTGTATGTAAGACCTTTATCTGTTTTATGAAATTCTGTATCAGCAATGTCTTGGTTTGAATGCAGCAAACAAACAGATGACAGATTAAAGCTCCTAAATCATATTAGTAAATTCTCCGATTTCATCTCTCAGCATTGTTGAACTTTACAGTTGTCAGGCGTAGCAACTTTGACAGGTCTTGAACCAGGAGAAGAGCTGTAGCTCAGGGGCTGAGCATCTGCATTGCATGAAAAAGGTCTCAAGTTCAATCCCCAGCATCTGCAGGCAGGGCTGGGAGAGATTCCTTGTCTTTAACCCTGGAAACTTCCTGCCAGTCAGTACAGACTGCATGGAGCTAGATGGACTGGTGACTAGACAGTCTAAGGCAGCTTCCTATGTTCTAAGAACCTGAAACAAAGGAAGCTGCCTTACACTGAGCTATCAAGTTCAGTATTGTCTCTACTGACCGGCAGAAGTTCTTCAGGGTTTCAGGTAGGGATTTTCCTAGCCCTACATGGAAATGCCAGGTAATGAACCTGGGACTGTCTGCAGGAAAAACACATGCTTTGCCAATGAGCTACAGCCATTCCCCAAATGAAGCCCTTCCATCTGGATCTTGGCTTCCTAAGATTCTCACAAACATCTTCACTGCCAAACTTATCTCACTGCCTGAAGAACACAGCAAAATAAATATAGTTAGAAAAGTAAACAGACAGATAGGTTTTTGGAAGTCTGGATTGCCACTGAATTCTTTTTCCACTACGTGATATTTTTCCTGAGCTCCTGCTAACAATCATAAACCACCAATGGCAAAACATACTGAAATTTGCAACTTATGAAAGAGAGGGATGGCAGTTCAGACTTCAGAAAACAATAGAGAGTATAAAGATATAGTCACTAGTCAAAATCCTGGCTGAATGTTGAAGAGACCTTCAGAAGGTGCTGAAAAGGAAGGACAAAGCTGGGATTCCACAGCCTCTGCTGGTCACCAAGAAGGCCTTCAACTGTTTAGATATTTCCCTGCAAGTATTCCAGAGAATATGTTCAATGAATGGCTGGCGGCACAGGCAGGGAAACTTATTTAGCTGAAGGACTGCACTCCCTCTTGGGAAACCTCCCGGGGGGGGGGCACATGCCAGTGGTTGTTGGAGCACAATACGGACCAATGGATGCAACTCATAACTTTGAGCTACATTCTATATAGAAGTCAAAGTTATCTATAAACACAAATCTCCATCCATCCTCCAGGAAGCAAGAGGTATTCTCACAGTTCAATTTCATATTTCAGCCACACAAAAGCGCTCAATGAGACTGTGGATGAGGACTTGTGAAAGGTGTGGCCTAGGGAGAGGGTTGTGGCCTGGACAGAGTCCTGAGGGCCAGAGAGAGAGAGTCCTGGAGCACCATATTTTCCCCATGGCAAAATTCCCCCAACCATGGCCTACTATACGCCATATAAGAATGCAGAGACAGTAGACCTGTGATGGCCAAACTTGGCCCTCCAGCTGTTTTGAGACTACAATTCCCATCATCCCTAGCTAACAGGACCAGTGGTCAGGGATAATGGGAATTGTAGTCCCAAAACAGCTGGGGGGTCAAGTTTGGCTATCACTGCAGTAGACAAACAACCAGTACACCACCTTTACCTCTTTTTGCATATTGCATCTATCCATAAACAACTGACAAAATTGCAACTTACTTCACGGTCCAACAGCACCGGCGACACAACAGTGACAATGTCTCCTTTCTCCGGGTCAATATAGAACATGTTTGGGGATGGCTTGTCCGGGGTCTGCTTAAGGATATTATACCTCAGCAGAGCATTGTCTGTAGCTGGATCATCAGCATCAAATGCAGTCACACGCATCACAGTACTTCCTGAAAAGAACAAGAATAACACCAATATGAAAACTTCATATTTGGCATGTAGCAATACAGATAATATGAACAAAAGAAGAGTGGAGAAGTGGGAAGGAAGTGCTCTTGTGCTCCTGCTTGTGGCCTTCCCAGAGGCATCTGGTTGGCCATTGCGAGTACACCATGATAGATTAGATGGGCCATTGGCCTGATCTATCTGGGCTCTTACGTTCTAATGTTCATTGTGTGCCAAGGCCCCATGACCCGCAGTTTCCTGGTTCATAAATAAACACATGGATTTTGCTTTATGGGTTCAAATAGGCCACAACTTTATTGGTTACAAACGTGAGTGGTTCGGCTTAGGCATTGGGTGAAGCTGGATTATATCCCAACTATATCCCTGTCTGCAGGGAGTCCAACTAAATGTAAACCACCAATAGGGAGACCCCTATAACTTACATTAAATTGGGGCACCCCGAAGGGTCCCTATTGGGGAAGTGGTATGTCTGGGCCTGGGACAGAATCCACACGCACGGATCCCATTAACAGGATTCCCGTACCCAATGCTTAACCTCACAAAGTTGTGACAATTGCTACAAGGTAAGCGAAAAACCAAACGGCTGGAGCCAATTTGACAAGTGGAAAAATTCCCTCCCGGTCCCATACATATGGCGGTCAACATTATTCTATAGCAAGGTCATATCTTAGTAAAAATGAAAAAGAAGATGGGTGGGTGGGAGAGCCGGCAAAGGGCGGTCTCCTGGCCATGCCATGGTTTAAATCTACTGCAGAGACACACCCCACTGGAGCTGATTGGTCAGCGGGGCCCACCCTCCTGGGCAGGGGCCTGCCTAGTGCTGTCGTCATAGCCAAGCCCAAGCCCCTGTGAGGAGGGCGCGCATCTCAGGCCCCCGCTGGATCACTGGAGGCCCTGAGACCTGGCCGCAATGCCACCCACCCAATAAGCTAAGTGGATTTGCAAGGCAATTTTGGAGCCTTTTTCAGTTGAAGAGCAAGCTACCCCCCACCCCACCAACATTTTAAGCAAATACACAACAAAAGAAGCATGGCAATGATATGGGCCCTACATGTCAAAGAGATTACTGTCTATTCATGTGCTTCGTTACAAACTCCAAAACCAACCAAATATGTGTTCAAAGGATCCCATCTATGTGACAATGGATGCATACAAAGAGGCATTATTGGTGTTCACGCCCTGCAGTGTGTGGTTCAGTTCCAAACGGGACTTAACACCCAAAGTACACTGGTGGAGAACTTCATCCTCAATCAACCAGGGGATGCTGCAAACTCAATTAAAAGTCTTTAATGAATTTTTCCATACCCACCTCATTTGGCATATTGTTCAGCAGCCTAAAGAATCCCCTGCTGTGATCAAGTTGTAATTAAAAGAAGGCAGGGGATTATTAACCCCGGAGGCCTAAGACCGCTCCTTCCTCTCCAAATCTAGCATCCCAATTTACATGAGCTGGCTCTTCTCACTTGCCTTTTCAATCACTTAAATGCCTGCCTCCTAAATACACAGCAAAAACTCCCCAAACCAAGTTCTTTTTTTTTTTAAAAAAAGATATTTATTAAAAGTTTAAAAATTACAGAAAAAAGAAAAAAGGCAACAATAAAAAAGGAAAAAAAACATAGAAAAGCAATACAACAATACAGCAAAAAGAAACAAAGGGGAAAAAAAAACTAAAACACACATCCAATATTCCATGTCTTTACCTTTCCTTTACTTGTTTCATCGACCTCCTCACACCTCCCTTTTTTTGTATTCTAGTTCAATTCACTATTTCAGCAAATTCTTCCCATCTTTCTCAATTTTTTTTCCTATAATTTATCTTAACGATCTAACCTTAATTTTTTTCATTTTAACCCGTTATCAATCAGCTTTTACCTCTTTGTTGCATTTCTACTAAAACCATATAACTTCATTCCAGCATCCTTCTAACACTCATTAATTTTACAATGTTTCTGTAAGTATACTTTGAATTTTTTCCAATCTTCTTCCACCGACTCCCCAAACCAAGTTCTGACTAGAGATCTGCAAAGAAGGTTTTCCTGGGCTTTCTTGCACCAATCTGATAGGTTCATTGGAATCAAGTGTTCCTTCCCCCTCTCTCCTTAAATCACAGATATGGTGCAAAGAAATGGTTTGCTTAAAAAAAAGAAAGAAAGAAGCATTCTTAGGACCTCCTAACTCTTAGGATAACTAGGGGCAACAATTTTTGTCCACCTCTTCCTCATTGTACAAGCTCATGAACTGCAAAGAAGCCAATATATTGCTGCTGCTTCCTTGCTCCCTCCTTCCCCCAGGAACATTGTTTTTGTTCAGTGCCACCCACCCCTTCCAGGTTCTTTCTTCTTGTTATAGCGACCTTGAAAAGAAGATTTCTAAGGCTTTGCTTCATTGCCACCTCAGGCACAGTTACACCCTTGAGAAATGTAACTGAGAACTGACAGCAACCAGGGCTTGTACATGAGTGATTAAAAGTCAGGCAGCTCGAAATGGAGAGCAGTGCTTGTGGAGTGCAATTTGATGTGCCACCCCACTTGGTACACACACCCTGCAGCAGTCCCCTAAAACATTGTAGGCCATAGCTTTCACCCCTTTGGTTCGCCACCACTGCAGAAAGAGCAGAAACAATGGATATTTATTTTGAAGTGAGGGGGAAACCACCTTGTTTTACCCACAAAATCCCCTTTTACACTCAGTTCCAAGTAGTGCTGAAATGATTTTGAGTGAGAAAGTCTAATTCAAGTTCCAGAATCATGCCAGTGGTCCATCTACATCAACATTTTCAACACTGACTGGCCATGGCTGCCCAGGATTTCAGACAGGGGATCTTTCCTAGAGAGATTGGTCATAATCTACCATGAGGTTCTTCTCTGTTGCACCAAAATGAATTAGGAGTTGCTCAAGAGCATCATGGTAGATTGGGATACAGCTATGGCTACCACATTGGCTTCACTCCCCAGGCATTTTAGAGGTTGAACTTGGGGAATATCCTATGGTAAAGGCATATATGTGTATTTATTCATCCTGTTGTTGCAGGAGAAATAGTAATAATGAATAATAATGATTAGGTCTGTCACATAATTGTGATTCTGCCTGCCACCTAATTCCAGGAATCTTTGTTGATTAGTGAGGTGAGTTTTAGTCAATTAGCCAATCAATTTGTTAATTAAATTTGCATACGAGTGAGACAAACGTTCTGAAACAAGAAATATAGTTTGTTTCTAGAGGAAACACTAATGTGCCATAGCAAGTATCATGTGGGAAGAGGCATCCTCTATAATATGTAAGAGGAGAAACTTTTTAGTAGATCAATGGCCTAAACCTAACATGGCTCAGTCATAGAGATCCCAAGAGACTTCAGTTGAGAGGAGAGTGAGTCTTGATATAGTTGGAGTCACCAAGGACAGAGAGAGCAGGCGGCTACGCTAACATTGTATGTGAGTAACATCCCTTCCCTCACCCACACCCTGTAAGAATGAGTGTTGCTGTTCACTCATTTGAGGAAAGGCAGGGTCTTGCTTAGGGTCTGTTCAATACACCTTTCTGCCTGGGGAGAGGGAAGAGATCCCTTCACCCACAATTCCAACCACTAAAGCTACATAGACTCCTAGTTAAATCTTACTTCAGCACTAGTGATGGGACAGCACCCTCTAGCAGGAGGCTGAGAGGCTACAAACAAGCACAAAGAGCTCTCAACACCTAACTACAGCTGTTATGTGCCCCACAATATCTGCCACCTGAGGCAACTTCCTCATTCTGCCCAGTGGTAGGGTCCAGCTATGGGACCACAGGGGCTTCATGCCCCTTGATGTTTATGCCTCCTTTAAGGGCAATATCTTTCAACCCACCATATCCAGGGGGCTGAAGTTTTATTTAGGGGGTGTAAGACAGACCATGCGGTACACAGTTTTGCTCCTCAGCACCTCACGGATACTGCTGTTTCCCTCCACAAACATATCCCCACCCATCCAAATGATACACATTTTTGAACTAATACTAATGCATTAATTAGTGTGTGTGTGTGTGTTCTTCACTATTGTTGCACAAGATTTTTCTGTTTTTTTAAAAAAAGCACTGTGCATTTCTTTAAAAGGTAATAACATGAAGATCAATTGGTTTTGGTCTGTGCTCATGTAGCTGGGTTCATATTTCAAAAGGATCTATAGCTCAGTAATCACCCAAATGTATTAAATTGAAGATGCATACCTCCCTGGCATTACTCCATCATAAAGTTTTATTCTTCATAAAAGATTCATTTCCCAAGACTCATAAACTGACTATTTCTAATTTGGTGTCATTTTATAAATGCTTCCATTCTGGGCATCAATCATAAATGCAGCTGGGTTCTGTGGCCCCAAACAACAGCTTGCAAAATGATTGTGTTAAAACAATATGTCTGTTGCACTGCATACGTGTGTTTGTGCTTGTGTGCATTATATAATCAAACGGTGGAACAAGTTAATTAACATATGTACAATCAGCAGAATTGTCAAAGTTCTTTCACATACTTGCAAACAATGCTTTTGCGCTCACTGTTAGGGAAAATTCAGTTTTTCATGCACACTGGCTTTTTTTTTGTTTGTCATTACTTCAAGCTAGGCATCTGAGGAAGTAGTCCCATTCATTTTGCAAAGTTTCCCATCCAGTTTGTGTTTAAAGGAAATCTTACCTAATTCACACTTTCTGGAAGAAGAAGAATACAGAAACTGAAATACACAAATCTTTCAAAAAAAAATCACTTGTTTGAATTTTGTAGTGCAGTCTAGCCAAGTAATAGGTACCAAAAAAAGACAGATACTAAGGTAAAGTGTCTATGTGAATGTATATATTCATGAAAATAACATACCAAATGCATTATATTGGGGGTGGCTTTATAAAAATATGCCTATTCATAGAAGTTTAAACTCAAATGTTGATGAATTCCCCTAAGGAATTCTTAAAAAAAAATAATCCCAAACTGATGTGGAAATGTAGAAAATGGTACTGGAGA